GTACTCCGCTTAGTGTCTCTAAGCGGATGCGACGAAACTTTATTACCGGGCATGTAGCATGATTTTTTTGTAGGGTTTTAGGGTTTTAGGGCTTTAGGGCTTTAGGGTTTTAGGGTTTAGGGTTTTTTTGGGGGTTTAGGGCTTAGGGTTTAGCGTTTAGGGTTTTAGGGTTTGGGATCCAGGGCTTGTGGCTTGGTGTTTTGAGTTTGGTTGGGCTTTTGTAGGGTGATCCTTATGGAGTCCAAAAAGGATTTTCGGGTTTAGGATGTGGACTTTAGTACTTTCTTGTGCAGGGTTTAGGTGTAGGAGTCAGGGTATGGGATTCTTGGGAACCCTAAGCCCTTTTTGCTTTGTCCGTCTTCTTTGTGATGATGGTCAATGTCAACGTCTACAAGTTCTTTTTCGGAAGCCGAAACCCTGAACTCTATAGTAAGAGAGCGAGGAAGACCTTCAACCCCCAACCCTATAGTGTTTCGGGTTTAGGGTTTAGGGTTTAGGGTCTAGGGCTATAGTCTCCGACACTGGTCGGGAAATAAAACCCCCTTGACTGCACTGATGCCTTATGACTTAGTTCTAACTATGGTCGGAAAGCTTCAGGGCTGGAAGACTTCGGGGCTAAACTGTCTAAAACCCTAAACCCTAAACCAGATCTAAGTAAGCCCTGAGCCCTTCCTCCGAAGAGTCCTGAACCTCAACCTATGCCCAAACCAAAACTTTCGGCATACACCCTTACCCCGAAAACCGCAAACCCCAACAGAAAAAGCTCTCTGCAAACGCAGAAAACCCCATGATTCCCATACTCTTGTGTATCTGAGCTAATTCGGGAGTTCGTCCTTCAGCTGCGCGGTCCTCGGTCCGACAACCACGAAGCTGACCCTAAATCCGAAACAGAACGTAAGCCCTGAACCCGCCCGATAACAGAGACATCGAGATTTGGACAACTTCCGGGCCCACACCACACCCCCAGGCAGCTTCCCGGTTACCATGTGGTTTAGGGTTTAGGGTTTAGGAAACCTCCCAGAACCCCAAACCCAATGCCCCAATGCTAGGTTCCCGCTGCCCCCTCAAAGAAAAAGCAAAACCCCTGTTCTCCTAGTTCTCAGCTACAGCTCTTGCAAGGATACCAAGGCCAAGGGGCACCGAAACCTGAGAACAAGCCGAGTAGAACATTTATATTGCGCGAACCCTACAAGCCCTGAAGACAAATGCAAAAGCCTAAACCCTAAACCCGTAATAAACACCTAAGAAGGCCTAGCCGTATAGACCGCAAATCCTGAACCCTCAAACCTAAACCCTAAACCCTAAACCCCCAAACCTAACTCCCAAGCCCAATAGAGCAACGCTAATGAATCAACGCCTAAGAAGCCCCAAAACCTTGGGTACTGCCAATCCCCTGTAACAGTTGGATATTTTCAAAATATGGCTATGTGTAGCCCTTAGCATGTATCCGAATACAAACTCTTGCAGGGTGGAGGCAGTCCCTAAACGCAGAACCCTAAACCCTAAACCCTACACGCTAAACCCTAATGCCAAACCCCTAAACCCGACATCCTACACCCTAACCCCTAAACCCTACATGCTAAACCCTAAACCCTAAACATCCCTAAACCCTACACATCCCTACACCCCAAACCCGAAACCCTCACCGAAACTCCGAGCCCCAGCCTTGCCCAACTCGTCCACCAGGCTCTCGAAGCATTCGAGTTTGCCTTTTTACAAACTCCCGCTAGGTACGCACGCTTTTTCGGTGTGGGGTTTAAGGTTCGGTTTGGGGTTTAGGGTTTAGAGTCAGGGTCTATGGTTTAGGGCATCTGAAATCATCCGCAAGAATCTGCTGACTGGCGGACATTGAAGAACCCCGCTTTGAGATTGCACAATCGGAAACAACGACCACTGAGTGTCGACGATTGCCTCCTCCGCCGAATTCCGAACCCCCATTGCATTCTCTGAACATGCTAAGACGCATACTTGGAGGCCCAGGGGACTTAGTAAGTCGGCTATAAGTAGGGTTATAAAGTTATAATTGGGGTAACTCCATTTAGGGTACTTATAACTCTACTTATAGCCTACTTACTAAGTCCCCTGGGCCTCCAAGTAGGCAAGCCCCACGAAGGCGTTATAAAACCCTTATAAAGCCCCAAGAAGCTGATTCAGCTCCCCGGGCCCAGCCAAAGCCCTCATAGCAGTTCTTTCTGTTACATGTCGTACTCCTTCTCTGTTCTTGAGACTCTAACAACCCTAAACCCTTAAAGCCTAAACCGCCTAAACCCTGAAACCCTAAACCCCTGAACGCCTATGCATCACACTGAAGCTACTGGGCTTCGAGGCTTCGGAACACCCGGAAACACCCACACGCCTTTGAAGGCCTTGGGATCTGCGCCGGGGAGCTCCACCTGATGTGCTAAACCCTCAGGGTGTAGGGTCTATTTTTGGTCTTAGAGTCTAGGGTTGGTTTCGGATTTCAGATTTAAACTTTTGGATCTTAGGGTTTGCGGCGTAGTGCCTGTTTACGGTGTCCGAGTTTCTGAGGACTCTCATTTCCTTGAGGTTGCGTATACTACATGTCGATTGGAACTGTCCGAAATCTGATTATGTCGGGCTCTACATTATGGGTATGCCCCGGCCAGTTGGAGGCACGTTGGCAACTATATCGGCTCGGCACCAAAGTTGGAGCATGAACCCTAGCCTTCGACTTTCAACCCCGATAACCCGAACCCGCGACAGCCTAAAACCCCCAGCCCCGCTGCCTGCTTCATCTGGTTCACGAAAATACCAACCGTCTTGTCCAAGACCTGCACACTGTCACGCTTTAAGGCACTCTGCCCTCGAATCTCTGAACTGACACAAGCGCTTTTACAGCAACGTTGATGGTTGATCGTTACAAGAGCAGCTAAAAGCTATGGACATCTGATTATGGTTTAAACGACCTGTAAGTTTAAACACCGAAACCCAACACCAAGACCCCAAACTAACCATGCAATAATAATGCAGATGCCGATGTTGGTACTGGCACTGGCAAGGGGCTGCAAAAGAAAGCAAAACAGCACTAGCAGCAACAGCTACCTTAAGAACCCAAAACCTACTTTTTTGTAGAGTGTAGAGTCCCTATAAATCTCATATTAGGGTTGATAATAAGAACCTACAAAAAAGTGGGTTTTGGGTTCTTAAGGTACTGTATGAAGCTTGCAATCTGCATGTCAGCCCTCAACCTGCACGCAAGACTCGGAACCCTGCATTCTGGTTTAGGGCTTATAGGGTTTAGGGTTTAGGGTTTAGGGAAGCCAACAAGAAGGCCGCCACAGATCTCCCAAAGGTGCTACATACGGCGCCCCTATGCCTTGAAGCTGAGCTCCCTGGCCCAAGAATGGTTGAACCAGTAGGGTTTAGGGTTTAGGGTTTAGGGTGTATGGTCGGAAAAACCAAACCCCAAAGCCTATTTCAGCTACAAAGTACCCCATCTCCGGACCGCAAACCCTGCAAAACCACATTCGAAGGACAAACATTGAAAAAGCACGTAAGCCCTTATTTCAAAGACCGGGAACCCCTCATGAAAACCCTATACGAACCTGCCACGGAACGGTGTACGATGGAATGTACATGTCGTGTCAATACTGCAGACCCTACTGAAAGGATCAGGGCACGTCGTAAGTTGGGAACTGCAATTATTGTTGATAGTAGTTACTATCCGCACTTACCAAGTACTCTGATCCTCCAGCTACGCCGCTTCGGCCTCTGACTGGCCGGGTTGGAAATGCCTCTAGCGGCGGCAGGCAGATGTATGGTTGAGGGTTGACGGCTTAGGGTTTTAATGTAGGGCTCAGGTTTAGTGTTTGGGATACCTTGGCTCCGGGTTTTGAGTCGGTTCGGGTGTCCAGGCATTCCACATCTCTAAATCACCACCTTCAGCTCCAGCAGCAGCAGCACCCAAAACAAGCAAACAACGAGCAACCAAACAAAGAAATAAATTGATAAACAAACGCATCAGGAAGCACACAAACAAACAAACAAACAAACAAACAAACAAACAAACAAGCAAACCAAATTATTAATTACTTAACTAACTGACTGACTGCCTGCTTGACTGACTGACTGATTAGCAGCGAACGAACTAACTAACAACCTGCCAACCTAACAGTGGAATGCAGCACAATCACTTGGCCATATCAGAGCGTCTGCTGCACTGTCGCTCCAGTGTTATCACGGCGGGGACTGCGCACGATGGTAGTGGCAATCTTTATGGTCATGATGGTGCGGATAGTTTGAATGAGGGTGAGGATAGGGGTGCTGATGCTGGAGCTCTCCGGTGACTCCACAATGCCATCCACCCTAAATACTAACCCTGAGCCCTAAAGCCTTGAGTTTCCTAAAGCCCAAACCCGAAACCTGCAGCAGAGCTGCCAAATGATGCGGCGTGTGGCACTGCAAAGGGCGTCACCTGCAGATGTTGGCTCGTGCAACATAGAAGCCGTAACAACTAAACCAGTGTTCCTTTTGGGGTTCCCTAAGGCTTCCAAAGGATTTCGGACCTGTGGATGTTGAGATTGAATTTCTCGGATCTTTGGATTGTGGGAAGTGTGGATATAGTAGGCGCCCTGAGATTTAACCACCAAGGTGCAGGGCACGATGGTCGCTGCAGTTCGGCGCAGGAAGGAGACGGCTTAGGGTTTAAAAGTTTAGGGTTTAGGGTTTAGGGTTTGTTGCTGATGTCGTCAAGATGCTTCTGGAGTTTCCGCTTGTAAGGACATCGTGCACCCGACACGTACTCGCGTGGTTGTTCTTCAGTGCAGTGTCCTCTTTCGCCTACAGCTGTCGGTCTACCCCATACAAGGCCTCAGTAACAAACATCCTTAATCACAGTCCACATCGCTCAGGAAGGACCATCATCAACAGGACCGTCGCCACCAGCAGGCTCCGCATCATCGCCGTCAAGTGGGGTTTAAGGTTTAGGGCACAATTTCGGACCAACGAACACTCCTAAAGCTTGACCTCCTAAACCGTACAGCAATAGACCGAACTGCCCTAAACACACACAACGGAGGACCCTTCTCCCCAGCCGAGCAGCAACACTTCTCCTGGCAACCACCGAACCGGCCAGCCTTCAGAACTGGGGAGTTGCGTTCAGCTAATATAGGGGCCTTAACAATTAGAATAGGGTTTTGAGGTGCATTATACTAAAACTAGACAAAGGAACTCCCAAAATATTACTGGTAATTGTTTAGGCCCCTATATTACCAAAAGGACACTGCTGCGCATCACAGGGGTCGCGGTAGTGCTGGTGCTTGTTTAGGCTCAGGGTTTGGATGTGGGACTCTTGATTCTTAACTTATTCCCCAGGAGCAAGGGTCGGGGTTGGGGTAGGGGTACGGGTAAGGGTAGGGGTAGGAGCAGAGCAGGAGGAGGAGTAGGAGTAGGAGTAGAAGCAG